TGATACCATAATTTCTTACATGGCAGGTCTGAAAACGAGTATGGATTTTAGAGGCCTGCAGGGGCCTGTTTCTCGAAAGATCCGGTAACGTTTCGAACAGAAGGCAAATTTTCCAATCAAAACCTGTTAAAAAGTAGCATAGTTCCTAACTCACAAGCCCGTCAATTTGGCTGCGTTACCTGATAGTCTTGTTGTTTTATTTTCAAAATTATTGAAACTTTGAGCTTGAATGCCAAACGTAAAACACCTTTACGGGCCCGAAAAGTTACCGGGACTTTCGAGAAACAGGCCCCAGGTCTAAAAACGGGTGTAGAAAATGACATATGTTGGTCTGAAATGGGGTCAGGATTCGGAGAACCGGGCGGCAAGCCCCCACCAAGAATACTTCCCCCCCCCCCCCCCCCCCCCTTCTCTCGGGGGTTTAACTGAATTTTTACAAAACCACAAATCTGAAGTACTTCTCTTCTGTGCCATGAAGGCGTGACAACGTGAACAAAAGACAACAACTCATTTGTTATTCTAAAATACGCTTTGTCATCACAGTTTGTTCTTTCCACAGGCTAATTGTTCTATACATTATTTAGTCTATCACTGAGATATAGGATAATGCCTGAGCTCCGAGACCTTCTCAATTTTTAAAATAACAACCTGTTCAAAACAATGGAAAGGTACCTTAAAGAGATAGAGCGATTTTCGTATGACCTTGAAATGAAAACGCGCAAACAAAACAGAAACAACAGACGAACGAAAAAAGAGCGATTTGATTGGTTTATAGAACGGATATAAACGCGCGTGCCTTTTGGCTGGTTAAGCGAACGCTCGGGTGAAAAAACTTCATGCCTGAGAACTTTCTAGAAATCAATCGATACTTCGTTTTGACGTCACACTGCCACACGATTGGCCAAAGAAGAAGGCAGAGGAGCGAGCGTGAGGTTCCACGTCATTGACCTGCCCTTCCATTTATTGAAAATAACAACCTGTTCAAAACATTGGAAAGGTGCTTAAAAGTGATATAAATGAGTGATATGGGTATTTAGGTATTTTATTTATCTGTATTACACGGATGAGTAAAGGTGAACGTGCAAAAATTACAATAATCCAGTATATATTAAAACGAAAGAAAAAAATCAAGAAATAAGTAAATAAGAAAGTAAAATAAGAAAAATAAAATCAAAATAAGAATATACGAAGATCAATAACACTAAAGGGAAATCTAGCGATATAAAAATCTAAACTAGATGTTCGTTTGGCTATTCTAGATATTGTGACTGTGAAATGACTTGAAACGAGGGTACTTGGTACTTGACAATTACTGAGCTTTGTCGCCGAACAACGGAGGCATCGAAAATGAGCAATAAAAGCGAATCAATAGATCAAAAATCTCAAAAAGGAATTTGTGTCTCGATTTGCATTCCCCTAGTTGTTTTCGCTTTTTGCGTCGTTGTTTGGAGGCCCATTCTGGTTCCTTACTCGTACAAATTTGTGAAGATAGTTGCTTTCCATATCATCAATGATAAACAGAGGAGTTTGGACAACGAACTGCTGCTTGCTCGCAAAGAATGGAAGTTCTATCAACTGGAAAGACGTTTTCGCCAACGGTGGTGTCAAGAGACTAACGTCAGGTCTCGAAAAAATGTAGCCTGGCTAACCGTTATGGTCAGTGATGACTTTGTCGTTCCCGCCTTGGTTCTCGGCAATTCCATTCGAACATTTTCTTGTCACACGAATATGATTGCACTAATTTCAAAAGATGTCAGTGAGAATACGAGAAAGGCGCTTCAGAGCGTCGGCTGGAAGACTCGTTTGGTCGAAGAAATGGATTGTGACTGGATGGATGCTAAAGTTGGTGGAGATCGAAATAGCGGACTTTTCGGAAGACCTCTAGGACACAGAATTAAGGGAACACACACAAGATTTCACGCGTGGAACTACACAGACTTTTCCAAAATGATTTATGTTGATGCTGATTACATGCTGATATCTAACATCGACGAACTCTTTGAGATTCCAGAACACTTTGCTGCCGCCCCTTGCTCCCGACCTGGTGTTTTGGATCCTTGTTTCAATGCAGGGCTTCTTGTGTTCAAGCCAGATTTGAAAACCTACCAAGAAATCATGAAACACTGGCGGGAGACAACAGAAAAAGACACCTGCCCAACGGATCAAGAATTGCTGAATGAGTTTTATGCAGACAGTGGCTGGAAAGAACTTCCGTATGCGTACAACATCAGGCGGATAATCTTTCGGCCCATGATGTCATTCCACTATGCCTGCTGTCGACCTCCAAAGCCATGGACGTCAGAATGTCGTCCAAGTAGAGAGGAGGCGAGTAAGTTTGACGGTCCCATCATAACTCTTGATGATATGACGTTGCTTTTCTGGAAAAACTTCTACGAACTTATTCAGCAGTACAACTTAGAAAACTGGTGGAACAACAACGTCCTTCACGCCAAAACGTCATCAACTTGCAGGAGGCTTGCTTAGTGAATAATTACATTTAGCCATCGTGAATATCCTTAAATACTATGTCAGATTTGTTTTACTTCACACTGCGAAGACGACTTCAGAATTTCTTGATTACATTGTACCAGAGAGCTTGTTCTTTTTACCTGCTATCCAGGCTCTCTAAGATACAGTCCGGTCTACATCCTATAGTCTACACGGTAATTATGTTTTTTCGCTACCGTCTCTGTAAATTACTACTTGTGGCCTTCAATCCTTTTCGTACATGGCTTCAAAACTATGGAACTCTCTTCCGGATTTTTTTTTCGAATTTCTAACTTTTCGGATTTCAAGCGCAAGATTATGACTACTTTTAGTAGTTTAAAATTTTAGAATGTTGTTAATTTCACAATTTTTGTAGTATTTAGAACTATACTTGAACTCGAAGATACTAGTTTATCTTTAGCTACTCTAAATTCGAGGTCAGATAAAGTATATGTAAGTATGTATGTACTTCTTAAACTTGAATAGAATAAATTTTGGACAGCGCTCAACTCTGAGAGGAGCATGTATGTATGTAAAAACATATGATAATAAACTGGTTCAAGACTTCAGAGGTAGTGCATCGTTTTATCACTACAGCTCTGTTTCGCGTGCCAACAGATGACCACACTCATCGGGTAATATCAATGACTGGCCGTTAGATTACAACAACTGGCAAAAAAAGCGGAAATACGGTTGCTCTGAGATATATAAAAACAGCGTTATTTCATCATATAAATCATGTGATTGCTATTTATAATTTGGGAGATTGTATTACTTTATCATAAAGTTCTTGAGGAGGTATCTAATTCTGTGGGGGCATGAACTTGCTGACTCATTCCGCTTGTTTAGATTGCAGAGATCCTTTTTACAGATGATTATGAATTTTTCAAAAAGACAAAAATTACATTTCTTAGTAAAGTTGTTGTAAGGTTTGCATTGTTTGATGATATTCTACTTTAGGTTGAAAGGCTTGTTGTTGTCTTTGAGCGTCCATACGTGCTTTGGTAATTCAGTTTCGTGTCTCTTGTTTTCATGTTGAAAGGAAGATGTGTGGTTTCTGTAACGTTCTTTGAACTTTGCCTCTAAGAGTTGAGCGCTCCCTGAAATACATTCAAATCAAGCTCAAGAATATGTAAATACATACATCGTTGAAGTTCCCTGATGATTATGGTCCTATAATTTCGGACCATACGAAACAGCACTGTCGCAATAAACGATGATTACTCCTGAAGCCTGAACTGCTGTGAAGTTATCTATGTACGGGTGTATGCATGCATGTATGTGTGTACATTTTGATATTTTCGTAGTAGATTCCGGTGTAAACCGTGAATGTTTCATCTCGTATGTGTAGTACAAGTATTCAATTTAGTTGTGAACGTAACAGCGTAAACAGTGTTTAAACTCCACTTAAATGAGACTTTTATTACGGTTAATATTCCTCAGTGCAGCTACTGCTTGAGATGCGATGGAATGCTTCACAGCTTTTTGGAAACCTAGCTGAAATACTGGCCCTCAAGTTCCCATCCGAAAACCTTTTTTTTTTGTTATTGGTATTGGTATTGGAACCGAGAGCTTGGCTATAAATTTGCTTAACTTCAGCGAAAAACACCTTACGAGCAGAGATTTCTCTGTTGCATGGCTCTTAGCAATTAAAAGTCGTTCGCGTCGCTTGTCAGTCGCGTAATTGGCTTGTTTCATACACCCCGGGAGAAAACAAACCAAGTAGAACACGCGAATGACAAGCGACACGAACTTTGTAACTCTGCTCGCAAGTTAGCAACAAAACAAAACAAAAACAAAAACAAGAGCGATAATCCTGTTAATCAATTAAGTTATGCAAAAATATTACCTCAAACATCGTAGCCTGCCATTCCCTGCAGTTATAAAAATGGTATATTCGATTGCTTCTGATACTAGTACATGTAAAACTATTACCCGCCCCCTCGGAGAATTCGTAAGAAATATTAGAGAGAGATGACCGAAGGTTTAATGGATGACTCACCTAGGCACAAAAATGTCATTGGCTCCTTGATTAATCGTTGCTAGTTCCTTTTACTTGATTGGTCTAAATAAAAAAAGGTTCAAGTAGCCAAAACCCAAACTTCACGCAACCTTCACACTTTTAATTATGTGCACTGGAACTAACTTTGAGTAACTGTTTTGCCAAATTTCAATATAAAAACGTGTGGTTTCCATGGAATTGACAAAGCGAAACGAATTTAGAAGCTAAGCTAAGCGTTTAAATTGACTACTGTCGCTGTAGCATCGGGTGAGAGTCACTTCTAGCTCTTATCTAAATTACCGCATGAAGGACAAGAACTCGCCGTTTTGACATGCGACAATTTCGTCGCCGACTATTATGGGTTGCTGTGGTATTAGTTTTGGTATTTTGCCTGAAGAATTTCAGGCGCTTTTTCCCACCAAGCATCAAATGGATTGATTTAAGAAATCAAAAAGATAGTCTCTCCATCTTATCTCCGGTTGAGGAACCTCATCTATACCTCGAGCAACCCATGTTTTTGCTTGTTATCGTTTCTTCTTCACCTAACAAACGGGTAAACGCGGGAAGGAGAGATGTGATACGGAAGACTTGGGGCAATGTTGAGGAAACTCGTGTGCCAAACGATGTTATATGGAAAGTAGTGTTCGTAATGGGCAAACCACAGAACGCTGAAATGAACCAGGTCATAATGGCAGAGCACAGAAGTCGAAGAGACTTACTTATCGGTGACTACAAAGACGAATATCGAAACATTGTCATCAAACTTCTGATGGCATTCCAGTGGGCATCGAAAATCAAGTGTTCCTATGTTCTCAAAACGGACGATGATGTTTATATCGAAATTCCTAAGCTAGTTGAGTGGTTGATTAAACGAAGTGATGAACATTCTCTCTATGGTGGTATTCTCTATCAGGGAGAAGTTGTCAGAGACAAGACTCATCGACATTATGTTAAAAAAGATGATCTCTCCCTGGAGCATTACCCGGTGTTTTGCAAAGGCTCAATGTTTGTCCTATCATGGAATTTGATTCCCAAGATGGTGGGATTCTCAGACACATATTAAAAGAATTGGACCCGATGATGCTTACATAGGGCTTTTAGCCTTCCAGCTGGACATAAAACCAGTCGAAATACAAGGATTTCAACAATTTAGTCACATGCACAACCTTATCAATGTCGTAACTACGTGTCAAATCCAGGAATTGATAGGAATTGGTGATTCTCTCACCCCAGAACAAATAAACTATATCCATAAAGTTAAAAAATCCCTTCCAAAGAACGGAAAACTTCCTAGCGTTTGCATATCGCTATTCATGGAACTTGTACTTTTGTTGTCTTTATCTTGTACATTTCTAACGATATTTTTGACATTTTGCTGCCGACGGAGGTGTCGCTTGAGAATAAAAAGGTAACACAGGTCGTTTTGCCCGTTCTTTAAGCGTGGAAAAATGAATAAGCGTGAATGATTGACAGTGCCAACAACTTTTTCCAGTGAAAACTTCTCACAAAATATACATCAAAGATCGACGTAGAGTAGCGATCGCTGATCAAGTACATGTAGACTTCAGTTTTTATGTGCAGTCAGTTTCAGTATCTCAAAAGTGGTTATTGAGATCGATAAGGTCGTTCAGACCGCTCGGCAGCAACAGAATCCAAGCTTAACTAAAAACATCTCTGATAAGCGGTGTTGTAGAGTGCTGTTTGTCATCGGGCGAATCGACTTAACGTCCGGACGAAACAACTTCAGGCGAAACGACCACAATTTGAATCAAAATACTTTCGCATCCCGGGGGGGGGGGGTACTCAAGGAATGTTTGGGTTGAGGCGTGCCGCCGCGACCTTCAAACCATGACCCTGTTTAAGAACCAATGTCGGAAAATATCGAGAACCTCAAATCAGTTCAACGGTAGTCTTTACACTTGGCCGTTAAGTAACATTTAAGAGCCACTAAGTTTTACGTGTGTGAAGGCCTACATAAAATCTCAAGTTATTTTACTTTGCATCTCATTAAAATCGGAAAGTTGAAACGATTCAAGAAAAATTTCAAGTGAAAAGAAAACCATCCTTAAAACCGACTGAACTTGCGGTTTCCTTAGCTTTGAGAAAGACGAAGCATGTCAATCAATCTTAATTATGTTGCGTGAGGAAATAGTCGGTACGGGAGGCGCCTCAACAACAAAAATTCCACACTGATGACGTAAATCAATATTTACGCAATTATTCTGGTATTCGTGGAGTTTCAAATGTAAATTTTTTCGAGTTTAGATTTTGACTTTTAACCTTTCTCAATGTTTGATTTTCAGCTGACGCTCGTTCGCAGAAGAATTCAAAACTTTACGATAACAGATTATAAATGAGAAGAAGTGTATTTAACTCGAACAAATTTACATTTGCCCTGTATTTGGAACCGCGTGACTACCATATTAACTAGAAATACGTGTATCGCAGAACCTCGCGAAGCTCGGTCAGGGGGGGGGCATAAAATGTCAGGGAGACCGTGTTGTTGCCAAGAAACTCGTAAACACTACAAAGTGTTCAGCTAGTGAGGTCATTTGCATAATGCGGTATTCAAAACCTTAATCCAAACAAGTCCCCTGGGGCTGACAGAATCTCGCCTTGCACTCCAACCTCGTCCCCAGGACTCCACCCTCCGTCTTGCATTCTAAAATCCTGTGCTTCGCAACTGGCACCCTCAGTCACACACACATACCGAACAAGCGCGCAAGCCCTTGATCTTACAAAAATCAGACAAATGTGATAGAATCCCTCATCGGGAGGTACGTAAGACGAAAAGTGGAAAACTTCATTTGTGGTGAAGACCTAGGAACAGAAATCACATCGAGGTGTGGTAGTTGTCGTTGTGGAAAGTGTCCAGTTGTTGGTCACACCTAATCGTTCAAGGAACAGCAAGAGTTGATGAGAATCTAGAGTATGATATAGCGCATCAGTGCTGGGTAAAAACCTATCCTTGGCTAGTGGACCCATCCACCCTACCAAACAATTATCATGCAGCTCCCCTTGGGAAGACAGAGCAAACTCTCAGCAAAGACAAGCAGTGGGTGGAGACAGATGGAGGATATGCTGGATGGCAGTGTTGTTAGAAAGCTATCTGAGGAGGAGATACAGAAATGGTTTAGTCCCTTATTCTGCATCTCTCATCTGGCTGTGGTCAAACCAAAGTCAAACTTCTCACCAGTGCGTATTGTGTTTAACTCCAGCCAGGTGTACAATTTCGTGTAAAATTCCGTGCCACACGTTCTGCCCATTTTGGTCTGGAATCGGGTATGATTTTCCAGGCACGGTAGAGCATGAATATATATATTTGTCGTTTCAATTCCAAATGAAAATATACACGAATTCAAAATGGCTTTTAAGAAATATCTTTTTGGTCTTTTAATCTAAGTAATGATACCATAATTATTTGGGCGTGGCCCAAATAGAGTAATGGAAACGGCTTGTTTTGACGCAAATGTGCAATAGGCACGCAATACGTGCTAACGTAAACAAGGCAAGTAAACAAGCGAAGCGAGGCGAATGTCTGCCATGCGAACGTCTTGTACAAGGTAAGAGGCATGTGGGAAAGAAAGCTCTGCTTGCACACGGCACTTAATCGCACTTTTACGATCTCGAAAGTTAATCTGAATCTTCAGTATTTTTGCCTCATCGAGATTTGGAAGTTTGAAGTCCAGGGATGAAATCTATCAAAAATATTTGGAATATAAACGTCGGGTTTTGGTCACAATAAGATCGCAAGCAACGAACCTTGAAACACAAAAAACGGATCGAAATCCACCAATCACAAATCATAAACAATGACCTTTTGAACCCGTTGAAGAAAACTTTCGTTTCCTAAGAGGTCCGCTAAGATGATTGACGTCTGACATTTTTTTTGACGAGAGGATCGAAATGCACCAATCATAGAAAGACACTTTTAATTGCATGTTTCCTAAGAGGTCATCTGAATTTGCTGTTTTCTTTATAGTATGTCCATTTTTTGTGATTGGTCGATTTTGTTAGGTCGAGTGGATCCAATGAGGGACGATTTGGATATCGTTTGATCCGAAATTTTTCGAAGCAGCAGTGAGAAGCAGTTTGGATAACATTTGGCCGCGGCGTTTCAGGGAACGTGTTAATTTTAGTATTGTTCAATCATGTTATCCCGGGTTAAACTTACAAATGCACACACTGTTCGCGGTAGGCCCACACTAAAAAAATAACACTGAGTGTTTTCGGAATGGGTTGGTCCGCGAACTCAAAGAAAAACAAAGGAAATTATCAAGACAATCAATGACATGAAAGACTCATGGACCCCATAGACGTAATAACAAATCGGAATGTCAGGAGTGTACGTGTAAAATGGATAAGAGTTTTAACAGAGGAATGTTTAACAAGTTTGAGAGTCGCAAGGTTTGTGTAGCTGGTTATCACTGTGACAATAGTGATTTTGATTTTTGCATTACGGAGCACAACGAGTTGCCCGTGATAAAAATCTGTTCCGATGAAGGAAGAGACGATTGTCAACAAATGAAACCAAAAGGGACTGAGGCTTCTTTTGGAACTACTGTGATAACTGCAACCTTTTTATTATTTCAATTTTGTTTAGCAGGGTGACGGTTAATTTACTTGTTTTTGTATTGCGTGTTGTGTTTTTTCATACGATGCTGTGCGTCGGGATTTTGCATTATCAGCAAGTTTTGTGTTAGTGTTTTGATGGCAGCGAGGTGACGACAAGAGAAGGTAATGAGCTAGTTGTACAGAAGGAAAATTGTGTTGTGGAGGAAATAAAAGAAGTTGAATTTAGATCTCGTCGTGGGAAATTTATTTATAACAGGACTTACAATTTCATTGGTTTAAACCAGGTTAGTCCATTATATTTTCGGTATGAAAAATTACCATAAAATCGAGATTGTAATTCGAAACTCGCGTTGTTTTCAAAATTTGCATAAATCGGCCGCTGCAAAGAAATATTTAGGTTAAAAGCGCTTCGAAATACTGTATCTTCAGAGTGGCATAGCTTTTACTTGTTGTGCTATATCTTTCAAAACAATCGATCGATTCTGGCTCAAAACTCTCAAAGCAGCGGTTTAAATGTTAAAGCCCGTGGCTGGTTAAAATCGTCTCTTGTATGTTTTCTAACGATTTAGGATGGATCGAATCGACTTTGGATCGATTATTATTTTATCAGCTTGTGGTATGAACGAAACCTTTTTCTTCTCGATAAAGTTCACTCAACAAATTTAGAAAGATTTACTTGACTTTTCATATGTGGAACGAACTGACTTTTTTGTGGAACGAACTGACTATTTTATGGAACGATCTGACTATTGATTGGAATGATCTGACTTGGAACGATGTCAACGATCTGAACATGGAACAAAATGACCGGTTACCGTCATGCCCCTAGCAGACTACCAATGAACAATTAAAATCTTTGTTACAGAAAACACGGAAAGTGACACTTTTTGTATGGAAGATTATTCGGAAAAATACACCATTGTCGTCTGAAATTCATTGTTACGTTAAAAGTAGAAAAGGTTTACACTTAAACAGGTACAGAAGTAACAGTAACAATGTGAGGTTTTTACTTAAGTGACAACTACAAAACTAGTTTGTAAACGAGGGAAGGTGCATCTGTCGTCCAAGCAGCAGAGCACAGGCGATTTAGGTGGAATGAGATATCCAAATAGGCTTCTAAGTAAGAATTTGCCCCTCTGTACATGTAATTATCCATTTTATAGTGCTTAAAACAGTTTGATTCACCGGGTTAATTTTGGCCACTTTAAGCTTTGTACTGATACAGAGAAGAATCCAGGACCTTCAGTTTATGTAGATGCTACAAAAACAATTAATGCTCCATACTGTCAAGGAAATGTTACAGGATTTGGGGAAAATGGTGGACAACGATGTGTCGCAATGAGTCCGTGCGCTTTAATTTACAGTAAGATAACAAAGATGACTTCAGTTGATGATATGACTCAAATAATGATTGTTGGTATTCAGTTATATTCTTATCTGTCACTGCTTGCAAGACAATCTATGTCAATGTTAACAGAATTGCCAGAAACGGTTACAGTGTTTGAGCAATTTTTCCACCTTGAATACAGTGACAGTTACACTTGTAACATCCATCACTACTGTATATGCCACTCACAGGTTACAGCATTTCCAACACTCTTTGCACTGAACTACAACTCATTCATTTTAACGGTGACAATTATTGGTGCTGGTATCTACAGCACTGAGGCTGGGGTATATAATGTATTTGATTCTCATGCTAGAGATATGTATCATAACAGTCATAGTGAAGGGACATGTGTATTGTTGGAAATACCATCCATGCATAAATTAGTACAGTATTTTCACACTCTGCATAGGAATGAGGATATATATGAACTTAAAGGTGTACATATTGCCACCTTTGAACCTCATCTTTTCTCAAGCAATGTTGAAAATTGTAGTATATCAAATGTTAATAGTTACCAATGTTCCTGTAAACAGTGCTGCCCTATAGCAGTTTATGCAACGTGTTACTCTCTTATTAATCCTTGTGGATACTGGACTTAAGGAACTTTATTTGCCCATGTTAGTAACCGGAATACACTGTACAAAGTTATGGGTGTGAAAACACATCTGTCAGTATCAGTGGAGGTGAGATAAACCTTACTCTCCGGGCTGTAACCACTTATGTCCTATGTTGCAATTTGGCTCCAAGCATGTCTGCATTGAAGATGTGCATATTTTCAAACATTGTCGTGAAATGACACTATTTTTGTTGTGGATTGGGACATACTGTATAAGCTGTGTGGTTCAGCAAACAAGTGGAGTAAAGGATTTGTCTTCTCTGGTAAGATATGATGACAGTTCTTTAGCTGCAATAAGGCATGTTCAAAGTATCATACCCTTAGTACGACCACGCCCAAATATACGCTCACACAGCGTCTTGTTTCTAATATGGCAGGTCTGAAAACGAGTATGGATTTTAGAGGCCAGGTCTGAAAACGGGTGTAGAAAATTACATATTTTGGTCTGAAATGGGGTCAGGATTTGGAGAACCGGGCGGCACGCCCCCATCAAGAATTCCCAGGAATACCCGCCCCCCCCCCCCATTGGGGGTTTAATTGAATTTTTACAAAACCACAAATTTGAAGTACTTCTCTTCTGTGCCAGGAAAGCGTGACAACGTGAATAAAAGACAACAACTCATTTGTTATTCTAAAATACGTTTTGTCATCACAGTTTGTTCTTTCCACAGGCTAATTCTTCTATACATTATTTAGTCTATCACTGAGATATAGGATAATGCCCGAGCTCCGAGACCTTCTCAATTTTTAAGAAGGCAGAGGAGCGAGCGTGAGGTTCCACGCCATTGACCTGCCCTTCCATTTATTGCACGCATGAGTACAAGACTCGTTTAAACGTGAACGTGCAAAAATTACAATAATCCAGTATATATCAAAACGAAAGAAAAAAATCAATAAAGAAGTAAATAAGAAAGTAAAATAAGAAAAATAAAATCAAAATAAGAATAGACGAAGATCAATAACACTAAGAAAAATGTAGCGATATAAAAATCTAAACTAGATGATCGTTTGGCTATTCTGGATATTGTGACTGTGAAATGACGTGAAACGAGGGTAATTGGTACTTGACAATTACTGAACATTGTCGCAGAACAAAAACCGAATCAATAGATCAAAAATCTCAAAAAGGAGTTTGTGTCTCGATTTGCATTCCGATAGTTGTTTTCGCTTTTTGCGTCGTTGTTTGGAGGCCCATTCTGGTTCCTTACTCGTACAAACTTGTGAACATAGTTTCTTTCCACACCAACAGTGATAAACAGAAGAGTTTGGACAACGAATTGCTGCTTGCTCGCAAAGAATGGAAGTTCTATCAACTGGAAAGACGTTTTCGCCAACGGTGGTGTCAAGAGACTAACGTCAGGTCTCGAAAAAATGTAGCCTGGCTAACCGTTATGGTCAGTGATGACTTTGTCGTTTCCGCTTTGGTTCTCGGTAATTCCATTCGAACATTTTCTTGTCACACGAATACGATTGGGCTAATTTCAAAAGATGTCAGTGAGAATACGAGAAAGGCGCTTCAGAGCGTCGGCTGGAAGACTCGTTTGGTCGAAGAAATGGATTGTGACTGGATGGATGCTAAAGTTGGTGGAGATCGAAATAGCGGACTTTTCGGAAGACCTCTAGGACACAGAATTAAGGGAACACACACAAGATTTCACGCGTGGAACTACACAGACTTTTCCAAAATGATTTATGTTGATGCTGATTACATGCTGATATCTAACATCGACGAACTCTTTGAGATTCCAGAACACTTTGCTGCCGCCCCTTGCTCCCGACCTGGTGTTTTGGATCCTTGTTTCAATGCAGGGCTTCTTGTGTTCAAGCCAGATTTGAAAACCTACCAAGAAATCATGAAACACTGGCGGGAGACAACAGAAAAAGACACCTGCCCATCGGATCAGGAATTGCTCAATGAGTTTTATGCAGACAGTGGCTGGAAAGAACTTCCGTATGCGTACAACATCAGGCGGATAATCTTTCGGCCCATGATGTCATTCCACTATGCCTGTTGTCGACCTCCAAAGCCATGGACGTCAGAATGTCGTCCAAGTAGAGAGGAGGCGAGTAAGTTTGACGGTCCCATCATAACTGTCGATGATATGACGTTACTTTTCTGGAAAAACTTCTATGAACTTATTCAGCAGTACAACTTAGAAAACTGGTGGAACAACAACGTCATTCACACGCTAAAACGTCATCAACTTGCAGGAGGCTTGCGTAGTGAATAATTACATTTAGCCATCGTGAATATGCTTAAATACTTTGTCAGATTTGTTTTACTTCACACTGTCAAGACGCCTTCAGAATTTCTTGATTATATTGTGTAAGAGCTTCTTTTTTTTACCTGCTATCCAGGCTATCTAAGATATATGTTTACAGTCCGGTCTACATCCTATAGTCTACACGGTAATTATGTTTTGTCTCTACCGTCTCTGAAAATTACTACTTATGGTCTTCAATCCTTTTCGTGTATGGTTTCAAAACTATGGAACTCTCTTCCGGATTTTTTTCGAATTTCTAACTTTTCGGATTTCAAGCGCAAGATACTACAGTATATGACTGCTTTTAGTAGTTTAAAATTTTAGAATGTTGTTAATTTCACAATTTTGGTAGTATTTAGAACTATACTTGAACTCGAAGATACTAGTTCATCTTTAGCTACTCTAAATTCGAGATTAAATAAAGTATATGTAAGTATGTAAGTGTTAATAATCACAGGAGTTCAGGCTTCAGGAGTAATCATTGATCGTTTATTGCGACAGTGCTGTTTCGTATGGTCCGAAATTGTAGGACCACACTCATCAGGCAACTTCAACGATCAATGATTACTCCTGAAGCCTGAACTCCTGTGATTATTAAGAGTCTATGCTCCTCAATTAAATGAATTGAGCGCTCTACGAAATACGTTCTACCCAGAATACAAGTAAGTATGTAAGTATGTATGTAGGTTTCCCTAGTCTACACTAAATCTCTAACCAGTTGAAGAGGATAGCCTGGAAAATGATTCCCTATTCTATACCAAACTATCTGATTTATATACCCTATTCCAGAGTTAACTGGGAAAACTATACCCTTCACAGCGGTACATACCTAGAAAGCCCATATTATATGGCAATACCCCCCCACTTCAGACGTAGTGCATCGTTTTATTACTACAGCTCTGTTTCGTGCGGCCAAAAGATGACCTCACTCATCAGATAATATCATCGACTGACCGTTAGATTAAAACAACTGGCAAAAAAGCAGAAATACTGTTGCTCTGAGATATATAAAAGCAGCGTTATTTCATCATATAAATTATGTGATTGTTATTTATAATTTGGGAGATTGTATTGCTTTATCATAAAGTACTTGAGGAGGTATCTAATTCTGTGGGGGCATGAACTTGCTGACTCATTTCGCTTGTTCAGATTGCAGAGATCTTTATAACAGATGATTATGAATTTTTCAAAAAGACATGAATTACATTTCCTAGTAAAGTTGTTGTAAGATTTGCACTGTTTAATGATTTTCCACTTTAGGTTAAAAGGCTTGTTGTTGTCTTTGAGTGTCCATATGTGCTTTGATAATTCAGTTTCGTGCCTCTTGTTTTGATGTCGGAAGGAAGATGCGTGGTTTCTGTAACGTTCTTTGAACTTTGCTTCTATGAGTTGAGCGCTCTCTGAAATACACTCAAATCAAGTTCAAGAATATGTAAATACATACATCGTTGAAGTTACCTGATGAGTGTGGTCCTATAATTTCGGACCATACGAAACAGCACTGTCGCAATAAACGAAGCCTGAACTCCTGTGAAGTTATGTATGTATGGGTGTGTGTATGTGTATGTATGTGTGTACATTTTGATATTTTCGTAGTAAATTCCGGTGTCAACCGTGAATGTTTCACGTCGTATTGCAGTACAAGTATGCAATTTAGTTGTGAACGTAACAGCGTAAACAGTGTTTAAACTCCACTTAACTGAGACTTTTTGCCAACGAGGCAACCGAGCTAAGAAGCGAGGTTGACTCGGCGGCAGAATTATAACGCCGCGCAATGTAGGCAAAAACTCTCAAATTCTGCGTAACCCTCTAAAATTTGCATTTTTGACCATATTTGGGTGTAAGTAAGACCCCATATTTGGGTAGTGACGTCATTGCCTTGTATTTACAACTCGTGGTGCAAGATTGGGTGATTCAGTGTGCAGCTGTTCGTTGTCTGTTCAAGAGGACCTAACTGATGAGCAAGCTTTAATACGATTTCTAGTTTGAAAGGGCAATTAGTGCTCTGGTTTGCTTTATAAATTGTGTTTAAAGCAGCAGCTGATCAAGGAATAGGGTTTTACGCTCAAATTTTTGTCAGAACTAGCTTCAGTGTTCTTTGCAGCTCGATTTACATTGAGGTAGCGTGTTCTCTTCTCGACTCAGAACCAGGGTTTTCAGTGTTCTCTTTTCCTTTGTGAATTGAATTTTAAGCGGTAGTTGATCAAGGCATAGGGTTATAGTCTCAAAACTTATATCAGAACCAGCATGTTGTTCGCAGGTCGATTTACATTGAGCCAGTCCTCACCTTCCGTGAGGAATGCAACGTATTTGCGGACCTTTTATGTCTTTCGAGAGATTTTGTCAACCAGCATACTTTTTTGCTGCTCGATTTGCATTGAGACAGCCCAAAACTCCCGTGAGGAATGCAACGAATTTGCGGACCTTTTGTTTTGAAGACTATCATTATGCCTTTCAAGACACTCTTAGTCCTGTGACACTCGCTCTTTAGATCTTTGTATTTTATTCAAGTTTATATTTTTATACCTCTAATACATTCCGCCCCATTCTTGCGCGCTTTTCACACATTTTACTTTACACCAATTTTATTCTTATGTATATTATCAAATATTTTACTTATCCCTGATGACGCTTTTGCTCGGAATTTAATTATTATTTTTAATTTCAGCAGTCAAAGGCCTCATTTGAACTATATTTTTTTTTCTAACGTTTATAGCTTTGATACAATGGAATTTTCCATGAAACATAAGTGCTAACTTGCTCATATTTACCTACAAAGCTTCAAGCCATGTTGTTATTGTTTAATATAAGTGAAAGCCTAGAATGTGCGAATGTTGTTGTTTTGAAGTTGGGTGCCATCCTTTTCCATAGCGGAATCCATTTTAAACCTCTAAAACTATGAAAAAAAATATCGCGAAGATCTGAATAGGCACATTCCACAAAAGATAAACGAATTCGCCTCGTTGGCACTTGCCGGAAGGTACCCCTAGTATTATGGGTAATATTCCTTAGTGCAGCTACTGCTTGAGATGCGATGGAATGCTTCACAGCTTTTTGGAGACCTAGCTGAAATTCTAGCTTTCAAGTTCCCATCCGAAAACGTTTTATTATTATTATTATTATTATTACTAGGGTATCTATCTAACTACTAGTAATGCTGCGGCACATTCTGTTGATACTGGCATTAGTTAGGCAGCGAGACTTAAAAGAATCGAAAATGATATTGAATGTCCTATTTACATGTTGGAAAGTACTAGAATAATTACTATCAGTCTATAGAAAGAACTCGTGGGAACGTTGTTTAGAAAATGATTAAGTGGTTATAACTCTGGTTTTCCCACAGTAAATTGTAGGAAACAATAGAAATTCAGATTGTTTATCCATATATTTAATATATGGTGCAAGATATTTTCTCTGGAAACACAATACTTTTCTTGCTGTTTGTTGCACTTTATTAAGTAACAGTTATTTAGCTATATATTTATAGAAAACAACTAGACAAAAAACGGAAAAAAAAGAAAGAAGGAATCATGAATTCGGTAGGGCTCGAACCCTGCACCTTCGGCTCGACGCGACTACACCTAACCACTACACGACAGAGGCTAATTACGTAATTTGTAGGAAAAGTCTTGATTTATTCCCTTTCCAGACTTTCCATGAAACCTCCGCCGGCAAGATGATCGCCAGCCGCATTAACCGAGCTATTAACAGTGAAAAAACAATGTAAACGCATATTCCATGGCAATGAATAAATGAAAGAACATAATTATGCTTTTCAAAACGCCGATACACGTCCTCGTCTGCAAAGTAGGACACAAAACATATGTTTTGTTATCTCGATTTCCGCTGTTATTTTGCAGCGAATGGTCAAAATCACATCCATTTTCGGCTCATACAGTTTCTTAAGAATAGCACTGCATGACATTTTCTCACTTTCACATCACCTTCTAGCAAGCTGGAATTTGTATATCCCCCGTGTTGCGGAGTCGAAGAGCAAATGCTCATCGTCTCGTCAGGTTTAACACCTGGACGAGTCAAAGGCTCTTAAATTGAAATCCAATCCCCAAGTTAACCATCCTACTCATCTGAAAGACTCCTGCGTGTCTTAAAATTTGGTAAGACCTCTAACCGTGCTGTAGAAAATTTGCCACAAAGAAAACTCTAAGTCTGAGCAGCGAACGATGCACTCTCTCACCCACCGAACTTGAGTTGTTCGTGGCGCAATGCACTCTGGTTAAATATGCAATGCATTATGGTAAAAAGTGTGGTTAAATGCAATGCATTGTAGTAAAAAGTGATGAATTCGGGAATTCGTCGCCCCTTATATATTTCCTTTAAATCCTGATTATGTTGCTGCTCGCTCCCTTCGGTCGCTCCGCAGCAATTATTATCATTATTACTAGGGTATCTAAAAGATAGTAATGCTGCGGCAAATTCTGTTGATACTGGCATTCGTTAGGCAGTGAGACTTAAAAGAATCAAAAATGACATTGAATGGCATATTTACATGTTGGAAAGTACTAGAATAATTACTATCAGTCTATAGAAAGAACTCATGGGAACGCTGTTTGGAAAATGATCAAGTGGTTATCAACTGTGGTTTTCCCACAGTAAATTGTAGGAAATAATAGAAATTGAGATTGTTTATCCATATATTTAATATACGGTGCAAGATATTTTCTCTGGAAACACAATACTTTTCTTGCTGTTTGTTGCACTTTATTAAGTAACAGTTATTTAGCTATATATTTATAGAAAACAACAACACAAAAAACGGAAAAAAAAAGAAAGTAGGAATAAATAATTCGGTAGGACTCGAACCCGGCACCTTCGACTCGACGCGACTACACCTAACCACTACACCACAGAGGCTGATTACATAATTCCTGGGAAAAGTGTTTCATTTTATTCCTTTTCTATAAAACTTCCGCCGGCAAGATGATCGCCAGCCCCATTAACCGAGCTATTAACAGTGAAAAAACAACGTAAACGCATATTCCGTGGCAATGAATGAATGAAAGAACATAATTATGCTTTTCAAAACGCCGATACACGTCCTGGTATGCAAAGTAGGACACAAAACATGTTTTGTTATCTCGATTTCCGCTGTTATTTTGAAGCGAATGGTCAAAATCACATCCATTTTCGGCTCATACAGTTTCTTAAGAATAGCATTGCATGACATTTTCTCACTTTCACATCACCTTCTAGCAAGCTGCAATTTCTTTATCCCCCGTGTTGCGGAGTCGAAGAGCAAATCATTGAAATGCTCATCTTCTCGTCAGGTTTAACACCTGGACGAGTCAAAGGCTCTTGAATTGAAATCCACTCCCCAACCATCGTATTCATCTGAAAGACTCCTGCGTGTCTTAATATTTGGTAAGACCTCTAACCGTGCTGTAGAACTAAGCAGCGAACGATGCACTACTTCCCCGTGTTTTTATTTGAGTTGTTCGTGGCGCAATGCACTCTGGTTAAATGCAATGCATTGTGGTAAAAAGTGTGGTTAAATGCAATGCATTGTGGTAAAAAGTGATGAATTCGAGAATTCGTTGCCCCTTATATATTTCCTTTAAATCCTGATTATGTTGCTGCTCGCTCCCTTGGGTCGCTCCGCAGCAATTAAATTCCAAAGCATTCCAAAGGCGTTCACGTCGCTTGTCAGTCGCGTAGGAGAGATCTTTCACATAACTCCAACACCATATGCTAATGTGTCACAATAGTAGAAAGATCCACAAAATATGTAAATGATCTTTTCGACGCACGGGTAAGCTTTTTGTTTTCTTTGCCTGGTTATCCCTATGCGGCCTCGAGGCATTTATAGGGCAGTGCAGCGCGATTTTTTTTACCGGCGAGTCAAAGATTGTAGAAGTAGTTAAAACAAAACCTGGCCGGAGCTTCAAAAGATACTTTAAGCAGACGGAAAATGCACTTCTTTTTTGCAAACGCTTTAAGATGCTAACATTTTCCCAATTTTCCTCTGACATTCTTTTCGAACCTCAACGGCATCTCACATTCGTAGACATTATTTTTAAGACTGGAGGATCGAAAAAATTCAATTTTTGGAAAGATTTTTATTTCGCGTTATCTACAAATAAACTTGTTACAGAGACAAGCAACTCACGTGTGTCTGATATATCACTGGTCGGTCATCATACATCATCAAACACTGACCGGCTTGAAATTTTACTCTGAAGAACGAAAGCATCAGGGCATACTATCGTTCTATCCCAAGACAATCATCGATAAAAAGGATTACACGAATTGTTCCCCAAAGCCTCCAAAAAGCTAAACAGCTAGCTGACTGCCACGACATGTACAAGCAAGACGGCGATGTCACAGACTATTGTGGATAACAGGATGCGATACGCAAAGAAGTCACCAGAAGAGCGAAAACCCGCGAAATTTAGCCAGGCAGCATGTCTGAACGAAGATACGTGTAGTTCAGGCACCAATGCCAATGCTGATCTCCCAGGGGAAGCCACCCCGCACCGCCTGAGCGAAAACAGCACCAACCTAACACAAAGTGCTCCAGGTAGCGACAGCGGACATCGCAGGAGGGCCACATAGCGCACAAAGAGATGTGTGGCAAGGCTGTGAAAATGATGAGCGAAATAGAACGCATCTTAGATAAATTCGATAGCGACAGTAGCGACGAGGACTAAACATGCGAAATATTGAACTGCCAATTTCCTTTTGTTCGTTTTTTTCAGTTGATAGTATTTGTAAGCGAAAACTCTGAAAATAAAAGGCTTTTTGTCACACAGTTCGTCTTTTATTTGATGGTTCTATTTGTGCCTGCCGCAAATAAAGGAAACGTTACCCATGGGAAAACACTCCGCGTATACATATTTACATATTTTGTGGACTTTTGCACTATAGTGCCTCTAGTTGGAGTTAAAAGATCTCTAGTTGTTTTGTTCATAGTTAATTGAGTGGAATGGTTATGAAACCCGTCAGACTCCTTTGTTATATGTTTTTGTGGACCTGAAAGTGCACAACGTTCAAAAGAATTCCTATCATTTTGATTGTATTGACCAATAAAAACGTTGCATTAATTTATTCCGTAACAATTTGCCAACAGAAAACAAAGGATTGTGCACTTTCACGGTACTTCCAACATAAACTGCAGCACTGTTGTTTTTATCATTGATGTTTGTCTCCTCTAATAACAATGGTTTGTTTCATACGCTCCGGGAGAAAACAAACCAATTAGAGCACGCGAATGACAAGCGACACGAACGACTTTGTAAACCCTAATAGCCATGTAAGAGAGAAATCTCTGCTTGCAAGGTAGCAACAAAACAAAGCAAAAACAAAAACAAGAGCGATAATCCTGTTAATCAATTAAGTTGTGCAAAAATATTACCTCAAACATCGTAGCTTGTCATTCCCTGCAGTTATAAAAATGGTATATTCGATTGCTTCTGATACTGGTACATGTAAAACTGCACGTGCAAAACTATAACCCGCCCCGTCGGAGAATTCGTGAGAAATATGAGAGGGATGACCGAAAGTTTAGTGGATGACGCACCTAGGCACAAAAATCTCATTGGCTCCTTGATTAATCGTTGCCAGTTCCTTTTACCTGATTGGTCTAAATATAAAAAGGAACAAGTGGCCAAAACCCAAACTTCACGACGTCTTAACACTTTTAATTACACAATAGGTTTACCGGAACTTTATTTGAGTAACTCTTTTGTCAAAGTTCATTATAAAAACATGTGGTCTCCATGGAATTGACCAAGCGAAACGAAAATAGAAGCTCTAATCGCAAGGACGGGAACTGTTCAGATAAGCTTTTAAATTGACTACTGTCGCTGTAGCATCGGGTGAGTGTCACTACCAGCTCTTATCTAAATTACTGCATGAAGGACAAGAACTCACCGTTTTGACATGCGACAATTTCGTCGCCGACTATTATGGGTTGCTGTGGCATTAGTTTTGGTATTTTGCCTGAAGAATTTCAGGCGCCTTTTCCCACCAAGCATCAAATGGATTGATTTAAGAAATCAAAAAGATAGTCTCTCCATCGAATCTCCGGTTGAGGAACCTCATCTATACCTCGAGCAACCCATGTTTTTGCTTGTTATCGTTTCTTCTTCACCTAACAAACGAGTAAACGCGGGAAGGAGAGATGTGATACGGAAGACTTGGGGCAATGTTGAGGAAACTCGTGTGCCAAACGATGTTATATGGAAAGTAGTGTTCGTAATGGGCAAACCACAGAACGCTGAAATGAACCAGGTCATAATGGCAGAGCACAGAAGTCGAAGAGACTTACTTATCGGTGACTACAAAGACGAATATCGAAACATTGTCATCAAACTTCTGATGGCATTCCAGTGGGCATCGAAAATCAAGTGTTCCTATGTTCTCAAAACGGACGATGATGTTTATATCGAAATTCCTAAGCTAGTTGAGTGGTTGATTAAACGAAGTGATGAACATTCTCTCTATGGTGGTATTCTCTATCAGGGAGAAGTTGTCAGAGACAAGACTCATCGACATTATGTTAAAAAAGATGATCTCTCCCTGGAGCATTACCCGGTGTTTTGCAAAGGCTCAATGTTTGTCCTATCATGGAATTTGATTCCCAAGATGGTGGGATTCTCAAGACATATTAAAAGAATTGGACCCGATGATGCTTACATAGGGCTTTTAGCCTTCCAGCTGGACATAAAACCAGTCGAAATACAAGGATTTCAACAATTTAGTCACATGCACAACCTTATCAATGTCGTAACTACGTGTCAAATCCAGGAATTGATAGGAATTGGTGATTCTCTCACCCCAGAACAAATAAACTATATCCATAAAGTTAAAAAATCCCTTCCAAAGAACGGAAAACTTCCTAGCGTTTGCATATCGCTATTCATGGAACTTGTACTTTTGTTGTCTTCATCTTGTACATTTCTAACGATATTTTTGACATTTTGCTGCCGACGGAGGTGTCGCTTGAGAATAAAAAGGTAACACAGGTCGTTTTGCCCGTTCTTTAAGCGTGGAAAAATGAATAAGCGTGAATGATTGACAGTGCCAACAACTTTTTCCAGTGAAAACTTCTCACAAAATATACATCAAAGATCGACGTAGAGTAGCGATCGCTGATCAAGTACATTTCAGTAACTCAAAAGTGATTATTGAGATCGATAAGATAGTTCAGATCGCTCGACCCTTTTTGAGCAATTGCAGCAACAGAATCCAAGCTTAGCTAAAAACATCTCTGATAGAGTGCTGTTTGTCATCGGGCGATTGGACTTACGTCCGGACGAAACAACTTGAGGCGAAATGACCACAATTCGAATAAACATATGAGACTCCCTTCACAGTTTCTGAGTCACCACTTTCGATGGGGCTGGCTGCTTTTGCTTATGCACATTTGAATTACGCAAATCAGTACTTTAACACCCTGAAATCCCGGGGGGGCACTCAAGGAATGTTTGGGTAGAGGGGTGCCGTCGCGACCTTCAAACCATGACCCTGTTTAACAGCCAATGTTGGAAAATATCGAGAAACTCAAATCAGTTCAATGACAATCTTTACACTTGGCCGTTAACTAACATTTAAGAGCCACTAAGTTTTACGTGTGTGAAGGCCTACATAAAATCTCAAGTTATTTTACTTTGCATTGGCCTCCCCGCAGACGTCCTTTGGGGTTCGTTTGTCACGCATTCATGAATGCGTGACAAACGAACCCCAAAGGACGTCTGCGGGGAAGTAAAAACTTGCAAGAGGTGACAGGCCGCACATCTTCACCGGCGTGAAAACCTTTGAAACCTTTTACATATTGCTCCATTGAGGAGACCTCCTCTTTCAGGGGATCTTACAGTTTAAAATTTGATCGATGATATCGCTTCTATATAGCGGACCAAGATACGGCTCGGTACAGTTTATCTTCAGCAAGAGAAAATTGTGTAAGTGGAGCAGAACCTTTTAAATGTTCAACAGACAATTTATTCAGTTCTCGCGTATTCCTGTTAAATTTGTAGCCCGTGTATGAGATATGTCTACTCAAAAATATAATAATTTTTCCATAACTGCTGTTATCTGAGAGACAGAGTAACTGCTTTTAATATCTCCGTAAAGTTTAGGTTTACGCGATCTCAGAGAACAATGTTTAGCTGTACACAGTACGTAGTCTTTTTAAAAATATATCCAGATCTGACACTGGTTTTGCGTATTTATCACGTCTAAGCATGATTTAAATACATTATGATGCTGTGTCCTTTGAATGTCGTCTTAAAACTCAAGCGCTTTGTAAATGTCACTTGTAGTTTTAATACCGGAGGAGAGTATTTTAAAGCTCAATATTTTTCAATACCATTAGCATGTTGTTTTTTTACCAATCAATCGACTGGCTTCTTTGTGCCACTACATAATGTGTGTAGTTAAATGTAAGTTTACAAGCAAGACCGGCGGTTTCGAATCTTACGATTCTCATCAGTTGCTATGTGGTGGGATGGTTGAGGTGAACTCTGAACCATTCCGTATTGCTTGATTTAGTAAGCGTTTATATATCCACCCTGGTTGGTTTGGAGCATCGAAAATGGTGCGGTTTGATTGGTTCCTTGCAAAAAACCAATCAGGTTACTGTAGGTTCGATCCGTGTTTTCTCAAAGCTAGGTTGTGTTTTTATAAAGGTTTAAATTTGAAAAATCGGTGTCTTGCCTTACTTTTTGTAAAGTATAAAAACTTCTTCTTAAAATGTTTAATGATGTATAAATGTTCCTCAAAATGGCGAGGGACTATGTTGTATATTTTCGTTTCAATTTAAAGCAAGGCTTGCGTTGACTATACAGTTGTGAGTAAAAACTTGCAAGAGGTGACAGGCCGCACATCTTCACCGGCGTGAAACCTTTGAAACCTTTTACATGTTGCTCCATTGAGGAGACCTCCTCTTTCAGGGGATCTTACAGTTTAAAATTTGAACGATGATATCGCTTCTATATAGCGGACCAAGATACGGCTCGGTACAGTTTATGTTGAGCAAGGGAAAATTGTGTAAGTGGAGCGGAACCTTTTAAATGTTCAACAGACAATTTATTCAGTTCGCGCGTACTCCTGTTAAATTTGTAGCCCGTTTATGAGATATGTCTACTCATTAAAATCTCATTAAAATCGGAAAGTTGAAACGATTCAAGTTAAAGTTTCAAGTGACTTGAAAACTACCCTTAAAACCACTTTGCGAACTTGCGGTTTCCTTAGCTTTAAGAAAGGCGAAGCATGTCAATCAATCTTAATTATGTTGCGTGAGGAAATAGTCGGTACGGGAGGCGCCTCAACGACAAAAATTCCACACTGATAACGTAAATCAATGTTTACGCAATTATTCTGGTATTCGTGGAGTTTCAAATGTAAATTTTTTCGAGTTTAGATTTTGACTTTTAACCTTTCTCAATGTTTGTTTTAAGCTGACGCTCGTTCGCAGAAGAAGTGTATTTAACTCGAACAAATTTACATTTGCCCTGTATTTGGAACCCTGTGACAACCAGTTTAGGGGCCGACCATTTAACTCTTGAAGGGGGGGGGGTGATTTCTGGTCATCAAAAATTTTTTTTCTAGCAATCTCTTGGGAAGGATATTTTTTTCTGTTTTTTTTCCCATAAGCTTTCTATTACATTTGTGCTGCATGCAATTTTTTTCTTCCGACGAGCGCTTGCAGGAAATTTTTTTCAAAATCACCCCCCCCCCCCAACCGCCGTCAAGAGTTAAATGATCGGCCCCTTAATTAACCCCAAGATTACCAGACTAATTGACCGTGTTGTTGCCAAGCAACTCGTAAACATTACAAAGTGTTCAGCTAGTGAGGTCATTTGCATAATGCAGTATTCAAAACCTTAATCTAAACAAGTCTCCTGGGGCCGACAGAATCTCGCCTTGCATTCCAGCCTCGTTCCCAGGGCTTCACCATCCTTCTTGCATTCTAAAATCCTGTGCTTCGCAACTGGCACCCTCAGTCACACACATATACCGTATTCTCTCGAACAAGCGCCGAACCCTTGATCTTACAAGTGCCCACCCACCCCCTAGGCCATAATATCAAACGAGCGATCCTCTACAATAGGCACCCCCCTCCCCTCCCCTCATTTTCCTAAACAATAGGGATACAAGAGCAATGTAACGACCTGCACATCACTGACGAGGATGATGACGAATCTCTATTTATAAACAAGCATACCGATACATTAGTGTGTAAATTGTATGGGGACTATGGTACGCTTGATTAACAACTACTGTTTTGACAAACGGTTAAAAATATTGACTTTATGTTTACGTGGACAATGTGTAGTTTTAAGTTGTTTTTCTAGTAAAGATTTAGCCAAGATAAAATTACAATTCATTGAAAGGAAATTAAGTTAATAAGCGCCCTCCTGAGTCCTTTAAGCTGAAATTTCGAGTAAAGCGCCCGGGCGCTTATTAGAGAAAATACAGTGTGTTGAAGAACTCAACCCGTCTACTACCTGAAGACTGGAAATATGCATATGTCACTGTGCTGGGAATTTAGCTATATTTATTCGCTGCGATTAGTTTAGAGTTCGCGTAAGGAATTTGAGAAGTTCCCCATTGGTGGGAAGGGTGGACGGTTTGAACTTCTCAAACAGATGAATACCTGCTTCGTTTGTTTTGGAAATCACCCGCAACAGAAGTACCCCAACAAGAAGCTATGCTTGTTGTGTGGCAGTGAAAACACCACCTTCTCATGTGCAAGTCCGAAAAGGATCCCAAAAATGATTTTCATACACATACCGCGTCAGCAAGTAATGCGACACAAGAAGCTAAACTGTAAATATCTTATTATCCACTCCCCTCAGCTTCTTGCGAGCTGGCCTTGCCCTCTACCCAATCCAACAAGCAAAGGTGTGTGAGTGGAAAGAACGTCACCATATTCTGTTATGGTGGATCAAACCAAACTTGTATAACACACCAATCTGCTGATAGAATCAAAGCAAATAAACGGAACAAGTTCACACTTGATGTCACCAGCTATGGGGAATGTAGAATATAGACTTATAACACTCGACAATATCACTTCACAATGAGAACAGACTCTGGCAAGAAAGTCAGTGTTACGGCATTTGGCATGGACAGAATTACTGGTCCTGTAGCTAAGCTGAATACTTCAGCCTTAGCTAAATTGTTTCCAAGCTATGACCCAGAGTCACCGCAGAGAAAGACTGACCAGGTAGACATTCCTCTTGGTCATGACTATTTTGGATTATTTCCAAAGTATGAGGAGGCAAAGTGTGGGGAGGACTTGACTATAATGTGGGGGGAATTTAGAGTCTGCCTTCAAGGTACCCACCCCGATCTGGTTGAAGGAATCTGAGTATGACTCGAATCTTGTTAAGACAATTCACAATTCAGCGATTTAACATGAAGCATACCATGTATATCTTCACACACACCCAGAATTTCAGCCAGATTGTGTTTCCCTAGTGGAGGTGTTTGATAACAGTGAAAAGCATGTTATCTCCAAAAATCAGACAGATGTTGTAGAATCCCTCATCGGGAGGTTATGTCAGACGAAAAGTGGAAAACTTCATTTGTGGTGAAGACCTAGGAACAGAAATCACACCGAGGTGTGGTAGTTGTCGTTGTGGAAAGTGTCCAGTTGTTGGTCACCCCTATTCGTTCAAGGAAGAGTAAGAGTTGAAGTTGATCCATGAGAATTTAGAGTATGATGTCGCGCATCAGCGCTAGGTAATAAGCTATCCTTGGCTAGTGGACCCATCCACCCTACCAAACAATTATCATGCAACCTTAGCTACCCTTAGCTAGGAAGACAGAGCAAACTCTCAGCAAAGAGAACCAGTGGGCGGAGACATACCAAAGACAGATGGAGGATATGCCGGATCGAGGTGTTGCTAGAAAGCTCTCTGAGGAGGAGTTATAGAAATGGTCTGGTTCCTTATTCTACATCTCTCATCTGGCTGTGGTCAACCCAAAGTCAAACTCCACACCAGTGAGTATTG